TCTAACAGTCCCTTCTGTCTAATCTGGGAGGGGACATAGCCTGTGAACACTGTCTATTAGGAAGTGCTCTACAAAAACCAAAACAAAATAAAACAAAAACAAATAAGTTATCACAAATCAGAAATATGTAGCAAACATCAAAGGAATTTTTCTGACAGAGATGGCTGAAGAAATTGGAAGGAGAATATCAGCACTGAAGACCATTATCCTGAAACCTGTACAAATACAGCATATTCCTGAAGTAGGTTCTTTGAGGATTCATATGTAAAAAGAGATCTGCTAATAATCAGTAGGAGGACACTGTTATTTTTCTTTCTAAAATAAATACCCCACTCCCTAAAAAAAGCCTCAGAAATTTTTATCAAAACAAAACAAATAACTCATTGGAAGTTAATAATTTTGAACTGACAAGTACAGATCCAAAGGAAATATGGGTATGACAAGAAGGTGTAAGCTGTGGTTTACTTTTATCCTTAAGTATGTACTGCCCTTGACAGTTTTAATAAATATTTCCAAGTTATAGAGCTTTGTTCTGTTTGTTTGGCTCTTAGTTAAATTAATTCCATGAAAATGAAATATATGCTAATGCTTAGTGTTCTAATTGCTTTCAAGTAAAGCAGATTAGCCATATTATGCATCATGTTGGTTTCTGTTCGATAATTATCTGTTGATGTGTTTCCTCGGAAATCTATTCACTACGTATGCTGCTGTCTGAAAGACTGAAATAGTTGATCTTTTCTGGAAATGGCATTGTTAGCCTTTTCTAGTCCTCCTAAAACCACCTTTGATTGATATATATTACTAATAATTGTGTACATATGTGTTTACAATATATACTTGAAAGCCCATATGCAGAATAAAAGGTTCCTCTCTATTTCCAAATAGACTGCTTTCAAAACTCCCAGGACTCTCGGCTCTGGCTCCAGCTTAGCAGACGAGTGACCCAGCAGGAGCTGGTTCTGCTGTGGCTGATGGTCTTTGATAGTAATGAGTGCCCTTGGTATTGGAAGGGACATCCAAGGCCACCACAAGACCCCAAACCAACATCAGGTTGATCAGATTCACCCAGGGAGCTTACAAATACATATATCTCAGCACTTATCCTGGTCTAGTAAACCAGGATATCTGGAAGAGGGGCTTGAAGAACGTCAGCCAGATCTGGGAATTGCTGCTATGGTCCCTCGTGATTTTCTTAAGTCTTCAGATTGAGTCAGAAGTAAGCAGGTCTTGTTAAAACTATTAGCTTTGAAACATGGTTGCAGAGCTGTTTGTCAATGTGCCTGCCTGAACAGAGCAGATGCATTGGTTTTTATCTGACAGGGCATTGTGTCTTGCTGGTGTCAGTAGCCTACTCAGCAGCCTCCACCGCTCCCTTCTCAGAGCAATGGCAGAACACATTTTAGGTCAAATAAATTAATAAGTTTGGATTTCAGATCTTTTGTTTTCAGAAAAATAGGAAAAAAAGAGTAAATGTCATTCAGAAGAAAAAGACCAGGCCTTATTTTTCTTCTTGTATCTGAACGTTGGTACTTTTAAAAAGTTATGTTAGATCAGAATAAAAACTGATGTAATTACTTAAGAGCATAAACTGCGTTTCTCACCCATGTGTAGCAATTAGATCTTCATTGCTATCTGCTGGAACTGGTGCCTCACTAAATCCAAACAGGCATCGCTTACTGAAGTTCCTCACCTTCAGGTAGCTTATATGGCTAATTATGCTTGAACCTGTATTCACCCTAGTCCCCAGCCTAAATGCCAGATGCCACCATGATGCAGTGTGGTGGAATCAGGAGCCGGGTAGCCCCTCTCTAGCAATGGGATTCATGCTCAGTTGCATCTCCTTCTGGCCTCCACTTCTGTGTGTCAAATATGAGCACTTTGATAGTGAATGATTCTGATCGTTAAGCTGGAAGAGAATGATCCTTTCCCAGTTGTCTGGTAAGAGAGCAATGCTGGGAGGCAAGCAGGCTCAGCATCCCGTGACTGAGGTTGTGGGTGTGCCTGCACCTGTGTGCCTATGGGTGTGACGGTGGAGATCCCAAGGGGCCTGAGATGCCCAAAGACTATCACATCTTTTTTTTTAAAAAAATAGACTTTTTTGGGCCGGCCCAGTGGCGCACTGCTACAGTGCGCCACTTGGGAGCGTGGTGGCGCTCCCGCCGAGGGTTCGGATCCCACATACAGACCAGTTCCCGCTCACTGGCTGAGCGAGGTGCGGAAGCAACACCGAGGGTTGCGATCCCGTTGCCGGTCCCGGTCCGGTATGGGCGTGACACTGAGGGTTGCGATCCGTTGCCGGACACGAAAAAAAGACAAAAAGGAAAAAAAAAATAGACTTTTTTTTAGAGCAGTTTTAAGTTCACAGCAAAATTGAGCAGAAGGTACAAAAAGTTCCCATATATCCCCGTCCCACACATGCATGGCCTCCCCCATTATCAACATCTCCCACGAGAGTGGCGCATTTGTTACAACTGATGAACCTACACTGACACACATAATCGCGCGGCAGCGCTCCCGCCGAGGGTTCGGATCCCACATACAGACCAGTTCCCGCTCACTGGCTGAGCGAGGTGCGGAAGCAACACCGAGGGTTGCGATCCCGTTGCCGGTCCCGGTCCGGTATGGGCGTGACACTGAGGGTTGCGATCCGTTGCCGGACACGAAAAAAAGACAAAAAGGAAAAAAAAAATAGACTTTTTTTTAGAGCAGTTTTAAGTTCACAGCAAAATTGAGCAGAAGGTACAAAAAGTTCCCATATATCCCCGTCCCACACATGCATGGCCTCCCCCATTATCAACATCTCCCACGAGAGTGGCGCATTTGTTACAACTGATGAACCTACACTGACACACATAATCCCTTCTCGGCCTTTTGGTTAAGGTAAGTGTAGCATCCTGTTTTGGGGGAGAATTCTTTGGACCCATCTATTTCTCCAGTTAACTCTGTTCAGAGTTGCTTTTATACATAGAGAGAGTATAAAGTTGGTTTACTCTTCCTACTTAATCTATTCTGGGGAGACACTGAGGAGACTGTCTACCTTTCCTACGTTCTCTTCCCCAGATTCATTGGACTGATGTGTGAATTCCCACTGCTATCATGCCGACTTTAGCTTAAGGCTTAGTCTCCAAATAAAATGAAAATATCCCTTGAGAAGGGTCATACCTTAGAGTAAGTAAAGCATCAGCAGTGCCACATTTGCATAAGTTTTTACAGTTTATGAATCACTTTCACACATATTAATGCTTAACTTACATAATAGCATAAATTACAGCAATTCCAAGGTGATGGCAGACATGGGGATAAAGAAGTGCTGTGCACTAGACAACATTTCCTAAATGTACACAGGTCACCTCACTTAAAATTACTGATGTAAAGTGAATGATGAGATGAATCTTTTATTTTCAGTCTCAAAAAATATTTTCTAAAGAATCCTTTTTAAGCTTAAAACAGGAGATTATAAAACACAGATTTGATCATATTTCAGTATAGATCCCCTTCATGAAAGGTGTGACTTTGATTTCCCTACTTAATTTTTCTTAAATTTCTTAATTTTCCTAGCCACCTCCTGGTTTTTATTATCATTTCTTCATATTGTTCAAGATAATAATCTTTACATTCAATTCTGTACGTATAATTCCCAACACTATTTTATATTAGTTTATATTTAAGTTATTTCAGTGCACACCATCATTGAAGTCTCCACTCTGATTCATCTCTTAATAGTCATTTCAATGTCAATGACTTTTCAAGAAGAGCTCGTGGGTACAGTATTTCTTGAGTGCTTTCTTGAATGCCTGCGCTTTGTCTTTATATTTGAATTCGTATCTTGATTGAACATGATGTTTTCGAACAACACCCAGGTTCAGCCACATTTTCATTCTTCCGGTTCATTTCATTTTTCCTGTTTCAAGGAAATGTTCTTATATGTCTCTGAATAAGCATCCGATTACATATGATTTTTATGTAATAAAAATCCTCATGATGGATCAGTCCCATCTTGCTGTCTATAAGCTTTTTACTTCCTGCTTTAATTTCTGTCTTTTTCAGCTGCATCCACGACCTGTGATTATGTCAAGCTTTTCTTCTACAGCAATAATTCGTTTTTAAGGGGTGTCCATTTTGTTCCTTGTGATTTTCTTTTGGTTTTCAATTTGATTTCTTAGATGAACAGTCTTTTCATTCATTCTATTGGTTCATTTTCTTATCTTTGTTTTACTACACTTATATTCTTATTAAGCTACTCCATATTATGAAGCAATTGGAAGGTATTTTCTGTTGAAATATGCTGTATTTCATTCCTTTTTTTCTTTGGCCGTAGTGTCTTTCAGAGTTGTCATAACGCTTTTTCTCATTTTGCTAATGATTAGGCACTTTTGGGTAAGATATGCTAGATTCTTGACTTGTTTACCGCTTTGTAGATTTGTTAAATGTCCAGTATCAGGGTTCAGGCCACATAGCTGGAGTGTACGTATTGGAAGGTGAGGCTATTCCTATTTGTACTGGCCTGAGATCATTTCCCCAGTTCAGTGTAGAGTCTGAAGTGCATATGCCCTATTTATTGCTTATTTTCTTCTGTTTCACAAATGCCTGCCACACATTATTTTCAGTACATTAAATCAGAAAAGTTAAAAATAACTACCTATTTGATATTTTTCAATAGATTTTAGATGTATTAGTAAAAATTCTCAGTTTGAATCATCAAAATGGCAACTAGAGGGTGAGAATAGGAACATTAACTGAGCCTCACTATGCTTCGCTGTTATGCTGTGCAACCTTGTTTCTTTTCTCAGCCATTAGTTTTTTGCTTATTATATTACATTATACATCTTCACTTGTTTTGTTGATTTAATAAAGATTCTCCCTACTATTCTGTATACAATACAAATATACACAATTTGTATATATTTGACTTTTGCTACATATCTAATTATATACTATGGAAACATATATTCATCAATTTAATTTATATATGACAATTACCACAAAATATTCACCATTACCTGTAGTGTGTTTGAAGAAAGAAAATATTCCCAGCAATAGTCCTTTTCATATCGGAAACCACGTTGCCTAGCTTCTTCCCAGCCCTACAGGACAAAGAAATAAAGAAATCTATATTCAACAGGGATTAATATCCGTAATATACAACTCAAGCAATTACACAGTAAAAAAATAAATAACCCAATTAAAAATTGGGCAAAGGAACTGAATAGACATTTTTCAAAGGAAGACATACAAATGCCCAACAGGGATATGAAAAAATGCTCAACTTCACTAGTCATCAGGGAAATGCAAATTAAAACCACACTGAGATATCATCTCACTTCAGTTAGACTGGCTGTAATCAAAGAGACAGAGAATAACAAATGCTGGTGAGGATGTGGAGAGAAGAGAATGCTCCCCACGCTATTGGTGAGACTGTAAATTAGTACAACCACTATGGAAAACAGTATGGAGGTTTCTCTAAACAACTACAGACAGATCTTCCATACAATCCAGCAATCCCACTTCTGGGTATATACCCTAAGGAATGGAAATCATCATGTTGCAGGGATGCCTGGCACTCCCATGTTCATCGCAGCTCTGTTCACAATAGCCAACATATGAAACCAACTTATATGTCCATCAATGGATGACTGGAAAAAGTAAATGTAGTATATATATATATACCATGGAATACTACTTTGCTATAAAAATGAATGAAATTCTCCCATTTGCAACAACATTGATGAGTTTGGAGAAATTTATGTTGAGTAAAATAAGCAAAGCACAGAGGGATAAATACCATATATACTCACTCATAAGTGGGAGCTAAGGGAGAGAGAAGGAAGGAAAGAAAGACCACAGTGGTGCGTTGCACTTGCAGAGCAAGAAAACATACCTAGGGAGACAAAGTGGAGTGTGGGAAGGGGGATGGGGAGGGAGGTCGGGGATAATTGGGAGGATAATTGGGTGGGGGACTTGGGGTATAATCACAGTTTGCGGTAATGGGCATGCTGACAGTATGGATCTGGCCATCACACCTTAGGCACAAGTGGTGACAATTTGCTTTGTACTCCATGAATATTCATAACAAATAAAATAAATAATAAATAAATAAAAAGAAATAAATCTATATTGCTCCTCAAAGTAAAGATTGATTACGAGTTTTTATCTTTATTTTAATAATAATTTAATCTTCTACTGATATTTCTTTTTCTTTGTAAAAACTTCCAAGAATTTTCAGATTTACAAACTAAAAAAAAAAAAAACTCCCCATGATCCTAGTTAAGAGATAATCACAATTGAAGTTCCAGACCTTTATACAAATAAGTTATATAGTGATATATTCATTGTGTTTTTCACACAAAATGGCATACTATGCATAATGTATTAATCAATCACCTTCACAAATGTTTTTTTAAGCTACAAAAAGAAGAAAATGGGAAAAAGGGAAAGACAGGCAAAATAAATTCAAAAGAAAAGACACGTAAACTTTCCCAAAATACGCTGTACAAAACAAACTAGAGCTATACTAAAAAGTTACCGCCTCTATAAACCAATTACATTAAATTTTGCAAAGATGGATGATAAATGTTTACCCTTGGATAAGCTAGGTTTTTGGAACAGAAAATGTCTCCCCAATCTGAATTATGTGCATGATTATTATACTCTATCAAAATGTCAATTCTTAATACAGAGGTACTTTATTAATGAATAGGAAAGAACTGTCAGGAATGGCAATATGACAAAAATATTAAGGAATAATACTAAATATAAAAATTGTTCACTTGTTCTATTCTTATCAAAACACACTTTTTTCCCTAAAAGGGTAAATGTAATGAGCTATTACAAAATTGAGAGAATTACGATTTTTTTTTTCAAATCTTCACCTAATTTTAATATTCTCAGCAATTTATTCCTGATACCTGTAATATAGATTTTAAAAGGTTATATGTGTTCCTGTGGTACTGTTAGCTTCGCATTTGAATAATCCGTCACAATCCAGAACTTTTTTTTTTTTTAACCTCAAATGCATTGACAACTGTCAAGTGGTCACTTTTAGTATCCTTTGCTAATTCCTTTCTTCTTGCATCTGCGATCTTTTCTTTTCCCTTAAAAAAGTAACAAAGGCAATTTAAATTGCTCAGATGCTATAATAGAGAACAGCATTCCAATAAAAAGCTAATTAAAAATGTATCTAAGCAACAACTACTTTCTACATCTAAAAATGCCTAGCCTTCATTTCTTTCTTACCAATGGAATGACAAAGGGATCTTTGAAGCGGAGACTAGCAGCAATAGTGAGTACTGGGTCTAAGCAACAGAACAGAGCCCCAAAAAGAATCATTTTCCCAATATGTGGCTCAACTGGTAACCGTGCTAAATGGACTCCAAGAGGTGTCAATTCTTCTTGTTTATCCAAAGCGTTCTGTAAAGAAAGACTTTATATTTAAAACAGACATTGTAAAGCATTATGTTTACAGCTATCTTTGTTTAATTAAAAGAAGTAACAGTCCACTGTGCACTCTCTTAAGCCCAAATACCCTAATACCGTTCAGCTTTGGTTTTCTTCATCAAAACATAAATTCTGAGGTCAGCAAAGGTTAGAAACTTATTTAAACAAAAACAAAATTATCTACAACTTGGCTTTACTGTAAATGTTAGGAGAGAAATAAAAGAAATAACGAACTAGCAAACTTTCAAATAAAGAAAATCACCCAATAAAGTATGAATTGTGAAAAAACAAAAAACAAAAAAAGAGACACTGTCATATATTTGGAATATGCACTGCATAGCCACTAGATTCTAGCAATTTAGGTGGCATAAGACAAGAAGGCAAGAGATAAAGAACATATCTAAAACCCTGGAAAATGGGAGTGACTTCTGCTCGGATTCCCTAAGTAACTTGGTCCAACCATCCCACAAAGGACAGGACAGCTAGAAAAGATTGAAGACACTGAGAAGTTAATGTAAGAATTGCAAGTCTAGGGTTTGTGGAAGAACAGATGTCCAGGAAGGTGAGCCTAGAGGTTAGGGACAATTTTCTTGGCAGAAGCAACATATATCTTCCTGGAGGAAGTTATCATCCTAGGCTTCACATTTTTATGTACAAAGCATTGTGTAAACAGACTTTCCAGTACACAATTAAAATAACCAGACATACCAGAAGATACAAACAAGAAATAATAAAAAACAGAATCTATAGCATCCCATCAGACATAGAGTTCTGTTAAACATTTTTGAAGGAATTACCCTCGGTCTTATAAAAACTCTTTCAGAGAAGAGAAAAAGAAAAAAAAAAGTCATAATACACCCAACTTTTGAGGCTAGCAAAATTTTGATACCTAAATATACAAGGGACACTTGAAGAAAAAAAAGCTAAACAAACTTACACACAAAAATCAAAAAACAAATCATAAGTAAATTGAATCCTATCAAGTTAGGTTCATTTGAGGCATGAAAATTGGTTTAACATTTGAAACATCAATGTAATTCAATACATTAATAAACTAAACAAGTCATATCATAATCTCTTCATCAGAAACAGAAAAAGGGTTTAATAAAATTGATTACCCATGCATAATAAAAATTTTAGTAAACTAAGAATACTTTCTTAATGTTGTAAGAGCTTCTGCAAAAAATATCCAACAAACATCATACTCAGTGATGAGCCTTTTGACAGCTCTCCCTTTGAGAACAAGAACAAGACTGGAATGGACACTATCATACAACTTCTGTTCAACAGTGTACTGGGGTCTTAGAAAACTGGAAAGGAATAAATAAAACTGTAATTATTTAAAGATGTGACTGCATATGCACAAAAATCTACATACAGTTATTAGAATAAGTGGGTTTTATAGCATTAATGAATACAAGGTCAATATTCAAAATCCAATTGCACTTCTATGTATCAGACTTATAAGAAAACGAAACATTTAAAAGTTAAAGCAGAATCCAAAAATGCGACTAACCAGAAATAAACCTAAAAAAAGATCATAAAGCCCCTATGTAGAAAACTCTTGAACACAGAGAGGGTAAATACCTAAATAAATGGAGGGATAGATCATGTTAAGACATTCTAAAGATGTCAGTTCTCTCCAAATTGATTTACAGATTCAGTACAAGCTCAATCAAAATCCCAAGATTCTAAAATTTATTTGGAAATACAAATAAATCAAGAAGGGCCAAGACATTTGAGTGATTGGTTCTACCAGACAGATTACAAAGCTAGAGAAATTAAGGCAGTGTGTGGCACTGTGTCGGGTCTGCCGCTGGCCGACCCAAACAGCCCTAGCCTCGTTCCTTTTGGTGGGCGAGCGAATGGCCCAGATTCCTCTTTCCCTCTGGTCCCCATGGGGGAAGAGAGCCGTGAAGACAGGTGAGCGCAGCCGCCGCCTCCAACCAGCCCGGTTTAAAGGACACTCAGACACAGTGGGGGTTCTGTCGAGCAGTTCCATTTATCATCACACAAGCACTTGCTTTTTTTTTTTCCTTTTTGTCTTTTTCCGTGTCCGGCAACGGATCGCAACCCTCAGTGTTGCCCCCGTACCGGACCGGGACCGGCAACGGGATCGCAACCCTCGGTGTTGCTTCCGCGCCTCGCTTAGCCAGTGAGCGGGAACTGGTCTGTATGTGGGATCTGAACCCTTCAGGGTGGATTCCGTGCTCAAATGAGCCTGCTCCTGAAATCCAGAACCACGGCAAGAAACCTGATATTTTTGGTCTCTCTTCATAAATAGTTTTGACTTAGCCCTCATTTTCAGTTTAAGTAACTACTTTTTTGCTCAAATTGAAGCTTAATGGAACTATAATTCTCAGGATAGTATTTTGTAAATAAAGATGATTTAAGTATGAATTTTATGAGTAAATTATTTCCATTTTATTTTATCCTAGATTGTATAGCAGTGCGCCACCGGGCCGACCCAAGCACTTGCTTTTAAAGGCAAATGGGGAAGGGAGGTTTTTTACATAAAGGTCAAGGGTGTGCATCCTGTCTCAATGCCTAGCTATTGCAATCACGCAGTGTTCACGAGCATGGAAGCGTGTATTCGGCCAATAAAGGCTAAGGCAAGGTTCCCGCAGACACTCCCACCCTACTTCCTCCCGGCGCCATCTTAGGTTGTCATGTTAATACACCCTTGTGGGCCCATAATGGCACCACTTGTAATGTCACTTAAGGTGGCATTAGTTTTTAAGGCCCAACATCTCCCCCTTTTTGTTTTAATAAGGCGGCTGGAGGTGGCTAACCTTCCCAGCCTTACCTCCATTCCCTCTGGTGGCTGTGCCTGTCTTAGGTTGTTTCCCTCTGGAAATCTTACCTGTCATTGACTATCCAGCCAAGTGGGGGTGGGGTGGAGCCTTATAACTTGGTGTTGATTTTTTTGAAGGGCCATATTGACCCAAGGGCTGTCAGGGCTTTTATGGGCCACCTCCTCTACCACCTGGGTGAGTATTACGAGAGAAGTGGTGTTGTGCCTCATAAGGGACACAACCTTGCAAATGGCGTAAGTCCCCAAGATGATTAAGACAAGGAAAATGGCTAGGGGGCCCGCCAGGGAGGACAGCAGTGTGGTGAGCCATGGGGAACTTGAAAGCCAGCTTTGGAACCAATTACTATTGGCTTCTCACTCTTTTTATGCGCTTTTCTAGCCCTTCTCTAAGCTTAGCTAGGGAATCTTTGATCACTCCAGAGTGGTCAGCGTAGAAGCAACACTCTTCTTTGAGGGCGGCACATAGTCCTCCTTATTGTAGAAATAGCAGATCCAATCTGCGTCGGTTCTGTAGCAGCTTGTATGACCTCCCATGTTTGGTTGGCTGGCTCGTGGGGACTTCCCCCAGTGGCAGAGGCCCTTGTCCTTGTTGACCCGAGGAGGGTGGCCACTTGGAGCATCCACAAAGGGTTCATAATGCAATCCTGACATGCAGATGGATTACTTCACGGCAACTACTGCGGTTGCGGGGGCTACTCCGCTGGTTGATCACCCTCCATCAACCTTCTTTCAGGACTGAGCAGCTGGGGGCCTCACTAGCTCACCTTTCACCCACGAGTTTTAAAAAATGCCTCACACGGGGCACCACTCTGTTGGGTCCACCGCTGGCTGACCTGAACAGCCCTAGCCTCATTCCTTTTGGTGGGTGAGTGAATGGCCTGGATTCCTCTTTCCCTCCGGTCCCCATTGGGAGGAGACGGGGGAAGAGAGCCGTGAAGAGAGGTGAGCACAGCCACCGGCCCCAACCAGCCTGTGAAAGGACACTCAGACACGGCAGAGGTTCTGTCCAGCAGTTCCGTTTATTATCACACAAGCACTTGCTTTTAAAGGCAAATGGGGAAGGGAGGTTTTTTACATAAAGGTCAAGGGTGTGCATCCTGTCTCAATGCCTAGCTATTGCAATCACGCAGTGTTCACGAGCATGGAAGCACGTATTTGGCCAATAAGGGCTGAGGCAAGGTTCCCGCAGACACTCCCACCCTACTTCCTCCCGTCGCTGTCTTCGGCTGCCATGTTAATATGCCCTTGTGGGCCCATAATGGCGCTGCTTGTAATGTCACTTAAGGTGGCATTAGTTTTTAAGGCCCGACAGCACTGGTTCAAGATACAAACACAGACCACCAATAGAATAGAACAAAGCCAGAAACAGACACACAAATCCATAGACACCTAACCTATAACAAAGGATGCAAAACAAAGAGAAAAAGAATGAACTTTTCTATAAATGGTGTTTGGTCAATTGGATCTGCATATGTAAAAACTATGACTTCTGCCTTACCAAAAACACACAAATCATATGCAGATGGATTATGTATGTAAATGTGAAAGACAAAGTTTTTTTTAAAAAAAGTCTTCATTACCCCAGAGTAGGTACATTTATTAAAGTGCAAAAACTAATAACCTTTAACACTGATGCATCTGACTACATTAAAATAAAGAATATTTATGAAGACACTATTAAAAAGAGAAAAGCTGAAAACATAGACACAACTGATAAAAAGCTCAGATGAAGAGTACACAAGTATATAATGATCTCCTACAACCTAACAGAAAAACAGGCACCAACAATTTACAAGAGACTATTCAAGTGAGCGATAAACATATGAAACCTGCTCACAAATTCAATGATAGTCATGAAATGCAAATTAAAACTACTACATACCTACTGGCATGGTTAGAATAAAAGACCAATAATACAAACGGTTAGTGAAGCTACAGAGCAATGAGAACTGTCATCTAGCAGTGGTGGAAGTGGAAGTGTTTCCAACAACTTTAGAAAACCGTTAGGGGTA